ACATCCCTTCTTACATTTATATACGAAAATCCATAATTCCAGTTCCCATGGACCTAGAGAGTTCAAATTTGGTAGGAGAACAGGCGACAGGATGGGAACACCTATGGTGGGTGGCAAAACCGAACTCCGCCCACAAGGGGCCGGGTTTGGGTGAAAATTCATAATTCTGTCTCAGTGGACCTAGAAAGTTCAAACTTGGTAGGAGTACAGACACCGCGACGGGGAAACTTATGGTGGGTGGTAGAACCAGACTTCGCCCACAAGGGGCGGGGTTTGTGCGAAAATTCGTGACTCCTGTCCCCATGGACCTAGAAAGTTCAAACTTGGTAGGGATAAAGGCGACAGGATGGCAACACTTATGGTGGGTGGCAGGACCAGACTCCGCCCACAAGGGGCGGGGTTTGTGCGAAAACTCATAAATCCGATAAAGGCCTATCATGAAAATCAGCTCATGCGGCTCCGTCTCTCATGGCTAGAGCCCCTAGCGCGCGCGAGAGCGTGCGTAGCCGCCTGGTTTCATCATAAAACGACTAACTGAGGAGTAGGGTCTTGAAAAGAAAAAGTAGGATGCACCACAGGTAAATAAATTAAATCATTTCATTGAAAACCCTAATCAAACACGTTTAAAAGCAAATTACAATAAAGCGATTGTCAGACCTCGTCATTTCTAATACTCATTTAGGAGGAAACCATAAGGATAGGAAAGTGGAAATCAACGGAACCGGTAATGAAAGGAAATGGTAGCACAGTATGTACATATGGGAATAGGGGAAAAAGCCATAAACAATCACATCCAAATGAAAATTGAATATTGATGAAATTGAAAGAAAGGAAATAGGCTAGTATATGGAAAGTGGAGTAAGGCATGAAAGTAGAGTTGCCCATCCGTGAAATACCATCAGAGATGGCGTTTACGGGCACAAATGAGGAACATGTCATTGACTTCGAACATAACACATTTACGGTCATCTTCTCGTCGAAGTCCAGCTTCTTCTAGGGCATTCAACATCATCTCTTTGGTAATGTAAAGGCAACTGAATACTCGTCCACCGAATGAACACCATGTCTCTTCAAGTATACCGCCCATTACAAGAAAACCTATAAATGACATCTTCAGGGGTAAGGAAGAATTTACCGATCAGTAAAATTATGCATTTCCAATATTTTTAGGCACCTCACTAGTGAGGGGATGATTGCGTTGCATTGCGGGTATGTACTAGTAATTTACTAGGTATACCAACGGTATAGGCCCTTGGCGAATGCCTTTTCCCCTTTTGTCACACATCACAGGCATGACTTATACCAGTCATAGTCTACAATTGGGACAGTTCGATTTCAGCCCTATGGATTCGGTATTTTCGTCTAAACCTTCTAAAAGACATTCTGTTCATGGAGGATTTTGTCCACGCCTCTCCCATCAAGGCCACACCCCTCTATTAAAAGTGGCTTTCTGAGGATCAGTGACCCTTTTAGCAAAGGTAACTGAGACAAACTACACCAAGTCACAATCACGCCGAGGTATATGGAAGGCCTTCGGTGGAAAGATAACAGAGTTGAAGCAGAAGCGTGATTGCAAACGACCCAAAATGGCCACAGGATACTCACTTTGAATGAAAACTTAGTAATAACCTTTCCTAATGGATTCTTTTAATGAAGTGATTACAAAAAGGTCGGTACCTCCAGGATTTATCTGATCCGCTATGTTTTTGATGGCCATTTTGTATTCTTCATACGTTTTACAACAGTATTCCACACAAAAGATCGTGACTAACACCTGTAAAATGATTCAGAAATTCGAAAAAAAGCGAAGCTGAGGGAAAATTCAGAGATTCATGGAAACCCTTGGGCAAGATTCTTAATGGATAAACTCACATCAAACTTCCCGTGAAGCTGCTTTGGCAAATCGACGGATGGGCTGGCAAAACAGTCACAATGATAAACTCCGCATATCTAAAATGAATGGGGTCCGTATTTTGAAAGCCAGATATGACGACAGAAGAGAAAAGAAAGAAAGTTAAAAACCGAAGGATCTTCCTATTAGATCAAATGAGGGAGGTCCATAATCCAAATGGGTTGAGGGAAAAAAAATTGACAAACCTTTTGTCTTGTTAAAGCAATCATCTGATCCAGGTCAGTCCATGAATTGCCTTCCTGTGACAGGATCATCTTCAACGGTACAGACCAGTCAAATTCTGATCGCCCTTTACACCATAGTGACAGCTCTTTACGATTTTGAGGAAGATAGTCAGCAAGGTAGATCTGCAAATGATAATTCTTCATCTAAGAAAATCTATTTGTGAAACTTAAGGGAAGGAAGGACCTGGCTTTGGATTTTTTAGAATGTCTCACAACTGCCGCTAACACTGATATGTTCAGTGATTACATGAGAGGGTTGCCTTTTTAAAACTTATTTCACGTGGGGCCATTCAAAAATCCAAATTGGAAGTAATATATTTTATACATGCGTCCATTAAACAAAAAAATAGCAATCTCCTTCGTGAAAGGATCTCGATCTAGCAAATGTCTCAAATATGTATTTTCATAAAACCCCAACCTAATATAGTTTTCAAACTCATATATTCCTTCCCAACAGGCCCCTTCCTTATGAATTCCTTCCCAACAAGACAAAACCCTACAAAAACGAAGCACGTAGAGTATTAGAATATTCGATAGCTACAAAACTAAATACAAAGATAAGGGTGAAATCCTTAGACTCGATCAATTTCATCAAACTAAATCAATGAATCAATGGCATTTCGCAAGGGGATTTTGCCGCAAAGATTCGAGGAACCTTATTTCGGTACAAACGCTAACATACCTCATCTGCTTGATTTCGAAAAGAGGCAGCCACATGTATGGTGGGTCCGGCTCCGAAATCTAGCACTCGTTTCACATTACCCAGTCGTGCCACGATATTTGGCAGACAGGTAAGGACCATCTGCATCGCGGGATCCTCCACTTTGGTATAGAAATCCTGTAATGGGATTTAGAAGGAATTTAGAGAAATATTCACATCTCCAGAAAAAACCTCTCTGTACGTACTAATTCAATATCACTGACTGGTGAGTGAGCTACCTATTCCACCTATTTTATTTCAGGTTTTTTTGAACTAGAAAAATCCGAAGTAAACCTTACCCGAGTCTGGTGTTGAATTCAGTCAGAACAAGGTTCTCCACAGGGCTAAGAAAATCTTACAAAAAACCTCACCTGAAGGTAAGCATCGGTTCTAAACTCGGTCAGGAAGGTGTCTCTGTCCAGGATCTCCTTTGCAGGGAGGTCACTCATTTGCCTCATCTGAAATTCATTGATGGGCGAATTCATTGAGGGATATCCGGAATGAAGTGAAGCTCTACGAAGGAAGACACTGAACTACGAATACAAGAAGAGAAATTGGAGACTTTTGAACGATTTCGAGATTTCCTTTCCATCTGGAAGGGAATTTGTGCTTCCTGAGTATCCCATTTGTAGATAACAACATTCATTTCAGTATATAGAAGGGTGTGATACTGTGTCATCGAAGGAAAAGGTAAATTATGACAATATGAAGAGAAATGCGGGAGATTAGGGGTAGTGTTAGTGGTGAACAGTGCACGGGAGTGAGGAGAAGATGGGCCTAGTTGCGATATCTAAGGTTCCGCCCGTCTCGAGCTTGTGTAAAGCGGGAGACCAGCTAGTGTGACAGTGAAAAAAGATTTTGCACTGCATCGTAAAGAAGTGCAATGATGGTCGGCGGCTGGGCGCGGTCAGTGCCTACTGGCAGCAGTGATGAGTAAGTGTGTCGGGTGGTCGTCGCGAAGGGGAAGGTGTGGCTCTATGGGGAGGCCAGGATAATGAAATCCCATCCCCCTTCATGTGTGACAATCAGACAAAGCTATTCACAAGCTCAAGTGTGTTGATATGACGCAATCCCGGGGCACACCTCTTGCCTGCATAATCCACCACAACACGTGCGCACTCCGAACGAACTACGTCATTTGCACGACATCGATTGCTCAAGAGAAACTCGTGCTTCCACTGCTTGACAGTCTTGTACGACCTTCTTCCTAGACGACCTCAATTTGCACTATTTGTTAGTTACCTGCTCACCGTTACGCGCTTCATACAATTGTATGAACCGAAACTACCGCCTACACTTCCTCCACTCAAAATGTGTGCTCGAAGTGCGTTCGCTCTTTCGAGAACTGTCTAAACAGACGACTCATCTCCTGCAGTTTATCCACTCTGCCTGCAACGAATGGCCTCCTAATTGAGTAAGATTTTCTGAGGGACTCGGGATCGGGTGATTTTGAAAGACTACGTCGAATTTTTCTCATAACTTAAAAATGATCATGGACTTCAACCCAAAGGGATGCATGAAATATTTGGGGCTGATCAACTAGTTCCCATTGATACGGTATGCCATTCAATCGGCCTCCATTCAAAGTTTGTATACCATGCTGCTCCATATTACTCCCTCAATGTGTAAGAAACATCCCAGACGATACACAAACCAACTAACCGACCAGGAAGGCGCACTCGATACGGGGATCAACTCCTCGAAGCAAGAAAGGCGTCACCGTGCTTTTCCCTAATGTTATCGTATATGGATCCACTAACTGCATCCCTAGAGACGTCAAGCAAATACTAGGACGGCAGTCAGTCTCACTCGGGCTTCTTTACGAGACCGACGTTACTGGCTCCCACTCGAGTAAATTGATGATCATCGGGGCGGCAGCTGATACAGGTGATGCCTCACTTAAGGAACACTTATTATTTGTAAGATGAATTACCCAACCAAAGGGTGAGTCATAGTCATATAGATTACGTAACTCATGCGTCGTCTATTCACAATACTATTTCGAGCTGGTCACATGTGAAGTATGATATCTCGAACCAATAACCAAGCAATCCCTTCAATATGGACTACTCGGTCCCCTCTAAAGGCTATAAAACTGATGAGACCTTCGAGTTTTAAACAATTTGCCTTCACAATGAGCTTTGTTCCAATGGATGGATACCAGAAGAAAATCCCTCGGTTCGTCATAGCAAATTGGTATGGTCAGAATGATGAATGACGTCTTTTAAAAGCACGGCATTATTTCCACCATGGAAAAATTATAAAAAGAAAGACTACAGAAATGCTGGTTGCAAGAGATTTGCACATTAAATGTAATACAATAATGTGCAAGATAAAGTCTTGGGCATTAATGGGTCCCATTTTGAGGTGCGCCCTGCATTCGACTTCCAGTCTGGATCGTAGCAGCACATTGAACGCATATGTGGACTAAACAATGACTTGCGGTGACCAGCCGATATTCAATTCAGGGTCTGTATCCTCCCAGTAGAGTCTGGTATCAATTAACCGACCCCGGAAGGATGGAAGACTTGGAAGACCTGGAAGAGTGCTGAATCTCGATTCCAACTCTGGACCACCGTTAATAGTGCGCCACTTACCTTTAGACAGACCATATCCACCCTGTATATCATATCATATTACACATACCTATGCAATGGGCGTTGAGTAGGAACGACAAGAGGTGGCGTAGGTGACGTAGACTTTGATCGAGGACCGATCTCTGGTTTGACTGCACCTGTGCTTGCAAAGCATGCTATATACTCAGAGTCAGCTAATCGGTAGCGGGCTCATCTGGTAGGATAAAAGCGCTGACTCGTACGTAAAGCAGCCTCGAACGTCGTTTTACATGCCAGATGTGCATTTAAACATCAATAAAATATTGAACGCTATTTGGGATCCCAGATGGGATGAATCAGCCCGTCGCCTTCTTTTTTGATGGATCTTTTGTGTCACATATGTTTCTTTTACTGGAGTAATATAATATGCTCCCAATCCCATGTGGCTTTGTGAGATAATGCGGCCAATTAATCAGAAGCATAAGTAAAAGGTTCAACAAAAAATGAATAATATAACAGCGCAAAGGTAAATAAGCTCAATCGGACCACCGCCTGAAAAATGATGGGTTTTATTGAAAAATGACTCCATCAGTCAAATTGAGAACACTTCATTTCAGCCCACCTGCAAGGATCGATGAGTAATTAATTTTTAAAGGAGTTTTTAAAGCCTGTTCTCTATGAACTTCTGCAGCTGCTTCAAGTTCACTTCATAATTTCTCTCTTTCTTTCGCTTTGAGGGGAGTAGAGGAAAGATTCGATAAAATTTATGTGCCCTCAAGCGGCACCTATAGAGTTGAATCATATTTTCAATACAGAGCAGCACCAGTTGAAGCATAATCTTCCTAAGATGATCTGGTGATTCTCAATCAGATTCAAGAGAAATCAGAACCCTGAGCAAACCCTTGCTAGCGCTGCACGTCTGGATCAGGCCATGTAAACCTTAGGGATTGTGTACAGAGTTGGTTTGGGAATCATTCTTAACTTTGAAATTGCTAGTTCCCATAGACCACTGTACAAAGGACGTTGTTTAAATCCGTGTCAGTACGGTCGAATGGAATTCTTTCGTACGAGTAAATTTTGAATAATAATCAACCTACCTTCCTTAACCATTTCCATTTTACTATAATACTTTTCCTGCCATTTTTGATTTACATTCTGGTTCCTTTGCTGCTTTACCCATATTTTTTATTCATCCAATTGAAAAAATGTGTATAAATGAAGGTAGTTATGTTAAAGCTGTTTTATTTATTATTCCTCACGTTTTGCGAAGATCTTTGACAGTCCAGCTCTTCTTCACTGTGTCTTCTAGGGAGCCTTATTCCGAACCTGATTCCTTTCTAAATTCCCCAGCCTAAAAGTTGGTTAGGACAAGGAAATATCAGAAAATCACCATTGATCTCCTCAAGAAAAAGAGGAAAACAACAGGGAAGTCGTACGTTGTTCGTCATCACTTTACTGTGACGACTACGGCGACAGAGCAAGCTGAAGATCATTGAAATAGCTAGCTGTGACAGCTGCAAAGTCAAAGGACCCGCTGAGCCTCATGATGTCACAGATAACACCACCAACGTCGCTGATCCGCTGCCTGAGGGCGCTGTTGAGTACAATTAGTATTACACTGGGACCGCAGATTTACGTTCGATTAAGGGCTACGTAATCCTGACATGAAACGGCAAACATCGTGATAAAAAGGTAGTTTTCTGCCTGTGCAATCGAAAACACACACTGGATGATGTAAAATTTTTTGCCTTTCCAACGATATGTCATTCATGATTCTCGAGAAGTTTCTCAAGTATTGAGGTAAACAATCGACTCTCTCAGGACTCACCAATTGTTCACTAGGAAGGACACGTCGCTGAGGAGGAAAACTCAAAGGTCATATGTACGCTTTCTTGTCGACTAGGTAGTTCTCCGAGAAATAACGCGAGAATACTTCTAGAAAGACTGGAATTCTTCGTAATTGCCAATTTTTGGTTTAATTCACCGCCTAGTATTCATGAATGAGTTGAACAAGCAGCTTGAGAAATGAACCCATTTCACGCAAATAAATCGGACCATCGTTAACACAACGTTAATCCCGGCGACATACTATAAATCAGAGCAACCACTATAAAGCAGGAGCCTCGTTGGAATGCAGTTCTTCAGATTACTCCCTGGGATGAAGTATTAACCCGTGANAATAAATCGGACCATCGTTAACACAACGTTAATCCCGGCGACATACTATAAATCAGAGCAACCACTATAAAGCAGGAGCCTCGTTGGAATGCAGTTCTTCAGGTTACTCCCTGGGATGAAGTATCAACCCGTGAGGATGTAACCAGGGTTGAAAACGGCCAAGATATGGTGGAAAAGCCTATTTGAATGATTCCTGACAGTCAAGAATGTTCTTCAGAAGATGCGACGTTCGGCCTTCAAGAGGCAATGATGAACGGTTTGTGACCATGAAAAGCAAGACATTGTTGGGTGAAGTACAGTACCCAACAAAAGTGGCCAGACCCTCACTGTATTACTCGCTCAAAGTTAATGCACATCCTTAGCTGCACTGAAGGGAAACTCGTCCAAACACTACTACCTCACAAAGATATAAGCTCCCAGTTCTTTATTCTGTCGATACCCTTGAGGCCAGTTCCCACGTAGGTGAATTCTTCACCTCCTTTCTCGAACTTTTATATTCACTTTCTTTATATTTGCCTGGTATTCCCATCATGGTGCCAATGAAGATTCCTGGGTGAGAGGATCGCGTAACCCGCATTTATGCCAAAGCATGCTTACTGACACGTGCACTCCCATGCTCTCCACGTACCCAGGTTGCGCCCAGGTTTCGCCAAGATAGTTAGTGAGATGAGCCTAGCCAGAACGGAACATTTTTTCATTCAGCTCCTCAACATTATTTAACCATTTCGCTGCAAGAAAGGTCTTCCTGTCTGGAGAACTCGTAATTGTACCTGTTAATATTTATATTCTTTCGATAATGCCAACCATCTACTACAAGCAGGGCTTTATTTTTTTGTGTTGGTTTTTGTTGCTCTTTAGATTTCTTGTTGCGAATGTGTTCTACAGCGTGACGGTAACGCTTCCATGCCTGAGCCTTATAATATTACGCCATTTTTTTGCAAACGCGCCCTGACCATTTGCCCATCTGATCCAGTAGTATCGTAATAGGGGCATCCATCCGTTCTCCTGTTCAGCTCCCACAGGTTTCAATTAGTAACATGATTTCGTACTACATATATCTGCATGTGGGCACGAATGCATGAACATATTTTAAACTCATTAAAATTGCATCGTCGTCATTTTTCCTACGCGGTCGTATTAATTGCTTGGACTTGACAGATGTTCACTAGTACTTTTGACAACATTTTTGAACAGTATCTTGGCTAGGAAAAATTGAGGTTGGTGTAGTGGCAGAAGCGCGTTACCAAGCACACATGCTCTGAATTGCTCCCAGTCGACCCGTTCGCAAACTTGGTTAACCTGAATAATCGATCCCCGCCCAGGCTTACCAAGTTTCCCATCCCTCATGGGTTGGCTAATTGTTACCGAACCAATCTGGAAAGATAAAACACTGACTTGAACATCACGAGTCGTTTTGTAGGCCACATAGGCATTCAAATGATACTGCGATTCTGAATGAAAGTCAAATGCGAGGGCGCATCCTCCAGACTGGATTGATTAACGCCAGAGATTTTATTTCTTATCCTTTATCATGGCTCAAAGCCTTTTAGTTACATACTGATACTGACTTTTATGAGCCTAGAAAAACCTATTCACTGGTTTGAATGTCCTAACTCAGGGAATTTTACAATATTTTCAACTTTTCCGAAAAATGTGTGAACTCTTCAGATATGTCTCTTCTGAACCAGCTGTGGATAATGCCGACTTCGACGAAGTGAGTCCCAGCAGCTGGCCATTCATGTCATTTTCTCTCAATGGCCTGATCAACTCTAAAGACACAAGTAAGCAAATAAAAATGCACTGGACAGCCGTAGTAATTGTAATGAGACAAGTGCGTGCAGAATCCAACCCTCTGAGTAGCAAATCTTACAAAGTTGTGTATAGAGCAAATGATTTCCAGCCATTGAAATGCACTCTCATCTGTCTTTACGCCCTTCATATCCAGACGTGTCCTCAGCAAACGTTTGGTTTGGAATAGGGGATTCACTGCATAACTGTGGTCTGTAGTAGAAGAACAAAGAAGTTTCTGAACCGTCATGGCAACCTATGAAACTTTAGTAAAGAAGTATACCAATTCTTCAAGAGGCTACCGTAACCCTTGTTACAACTACTTTGGTTTTACTACTGTTTGAAGGGATATAATAATCTTCGATGTGCATATATCATTTTTTTTCAGTGACAGACAGCAACCGCGTGCTAAATCCCCACACAGCAATAAAATGCTCCCGTGGTTCAAACTGAACACGATCATAAGTAACGCAACCAAGGTGGCTAGGAGGAAAGTCGGCTAGTGCAAAAATAGGTTCGATCTGAGCAACTTGAATACCCTGAAGTAACTCTATTATCTCACGGTGAGCCTAACCCTTTCTACTGCATGGTGGCCAGTGACCCATCGTCGAAGGACCCTGTCTCTTGGGTGGTCTTTGCATCATTATCAATTTTGTAAAAAAGAGCCAGTGACTCATCCGTCTTTTTTGGTCGGGTTGATAATATTCGATACCCTGATGGTGCAACCCTGAACTAATCGAATCTTGCATCCCTCTGGGATCAACCATTTCGTGTCAACCTCTTCCGGGAAAATGAAAACTTCTCGAGTCTTCTCATGAAGACTCAGGGAGCTTTCGGACGAGGCTGGTACATAGATAGAAGCTAAAGACTAGCTAACAAGTCATCTGGTCGCTACCGCACTTCAAACGTGACCGGTGAAAAAGTTCGTAACATTCCCTCAGTGATCTTAGCCTATGGGACTTGTAAGATGGCTAATTGTCGAAAGTTCGTTCGGCATCATCTTGTCCCTGAGGGCTAGATGATGGAATGAAGAACGTGACCTCCAACGACTGTGGCAGGCACCTCATTATTCTCCGATGTTTTTGTTGGTTTCAATGCTTGGGAGGCTCGTCAAAATCTACTTTCTGGTGGCGTTTAAATTGACATTATCATCGCAGGCGGTACTGAGAATGAGCCAATAATTTCGTCAACTGCTTAGGTTCGCATGGATCAGTCTCACCTGCCCTCATAAAATTGTGTGTCATTAAACTCGTCATATAATCTATTTTTAGTGCACACTGTAGCGCACTAATGGATGAAAGCTCCATCATACCCACTCTAGTAAGCTTCTACAATTTCTTCTCTTACCTGGGAATCGTTTCTATCGAATGCGCAGTTCGCGACAGTAGCTTCAACTACTTTTATCGAGTTATTACAGGGCGTAGAAAAGAAGAAAAATCGCAAAAAATCAAAAATATAAAGGAGAACGCCTGATGAAAATGGTATTATTGGTGACCTGGTAAAAAGAGAAAGTAATAAGTAAGTATAAACGCTTGCTCCAGTTTCCCCACAATATGGACATTATCTCTCAGTTTTTGATGCATTTTTTTCTACAATTTCTTTACCAACGAGAAATCTTCCCTTCCCTGACGCTCCCATTGTGAATGCCCCATAGAGCTGCACCTTTGAGAGTGCTATTCATGCTCGTCCCTGTTATGTTGTACTCTGACTATGGATTGAAGTTCATAGCAAAGAAACCCTCCGAGTAGGATTTCTCTCAATGATTTCAGTTTTTGCACCGGTACTAGTAAGGATTAACGAGGAGTATAACACATCCTTCTGGATAAAACCTGACCCGCGACTGTCCAGAGTTGTATGAGGAGCTGACCGTACACAACAAGATGTAAGAACGCAGAATGTATGCAAAAAATACTGCAAAATTGTCCAATGCTTCCAATGAAAGTAGATATATAGAGGATTAGCTCTTTTGTTCCTTCATTATTTATCTAACGGAGGGATCAACATACCATAAGCGAAAAAATCGTTGGGTACTGTTTACAGATCAATTTGCTCACGTCAATAGGTGGTACTTGAGTAAAGGTTTTTCGGAATTCTTCATTAACGAACTGCGTCAGTACAATTTTTTTAGAATGTGCGAAACACTATTGGAACAGAAGAACGATACGACCAGGGGAACAGTTTTATCAGAAATGATTTCATGTGATTGAATGGATAAGCAACGCTCCATGGGAGTTAGCAAATTATGTAGTAACGTTGGATACAGAATGGATATTGGACTACAGTCACCTGGTGCAGCACAGAGTGGATACCTCGAGATTGCTGTTGATTTCGTATTTCACGCACCTGTAGGATGGAACTCGCGTTCTTATAATCGCTAAGAGGAAGAATCCAAGGACTACGGTGTCATCAGTCGTTATCGGTTTTAGGAAAGCCTGGGACAGATAACCTTCTTTTTAGAGGTCTATCGCATTCATTCGCCAGAATCACGACTTTCGCTTTAGACCACCATCGAGCAACAGCTTCCGCCTGAGTTTAGGGCAAAGGAAGAGAGCTCTTCTAAAAAATCTTTTTTGCCCCTTTTGAACGATAACAGACCCCTTCGTACTGGGTATAAGTGATGTCTTTTTGATAAAATTAACTCGTGCTGTACTGTTTGAAATCCCATTCCCTTCCTCACCTCTTCTTCAACCCATCTGTCTGGCAATTTTCTGTTTTTCTTTACTGATTGGGCTTCCTTTTCAATATTTCCACTCTGTCTTTTCAGCATATCATTGAACAATCTGAGATGTATAGAAATAAGTAAATAAATTGGTTTTTCCCCTTCCTAAAGAGCATCGATAAATCATTGTCTGAATCAAAGCAGGGCACTCTTGACTGCTCTGTTCGCCACACGACGAGGAACCACATTCATCAACGTGAACGTAACATCTGTTCATCGTCAAACACTCAAGTAGATGTACTGGTAAACGTAAAAGCAAGATATATAGTAAACAATATCTCTTAATTTGTTATTGAGATCTGGCTGGAAGTGTCAGCACTATGGGTTCGTTTTGAGAAAACAGGAAGAAACTGATGCCCCATTGTTATTTGTAGATTTCAATTTCGCAGAGAGAAATTGGCGAAATCCTTTGAAAACATTCGAATTCCAATTTTTTTTCTGGATTTTTTGAACTTTAAAGCAGCGAAATCCATTCTGCTTTCTCCGGCGTATCTGGTACCAGCCTAGTGGTTGTGAGAGCATTTTTCTTTCTCCTTCAGGTTTGTTTTTTTTNTTTTTTTTTTACCGGGCAGGCATATCCGCAAAGTTTTTCTGAAAGAATCAGGAGAGATTAGTCGACGGTGGAGGTCCGTTTCTACCGTAGTCCTCCTCCGAGCTCCTCTACCAGCTTTCGCTATTGGCGCTGTCATCTTAAAACTTCTCTGGAATCTGATCTAAGAAGATTTACGATTAAGGAAGTCTTTGCATGAAATTATTCGAGATTACAAAATGAAGACAACTACGTAGAAGCTACAGAGTAACGTCGAAGACTTTGCCTTGATTTTTTCACAATTTTTTGACTTTTAGCTCGCTTGATTGATCAGGGGTCTTTGGGCAATTGTTACTGACAAGGTGAGTTTCACACATTCAGAACAACTACGTCATAAGTGCGACAGGTGACGTCGCGTGTCAGGTGAACACTACTGCTGCAAGAGAAAAGAAAACTCTCCTGGAAACTACGGGAGCTCTCTCCCTTTCTCATGGAAGATTTGGAGGGCACTTCAGAGGTAGAATCTGCAGAGGACACCGTAAAAGATATGATAGGCACTTCCTTATGATATCATGCACTCAACTTATTTTCAGAGAAGGATGGCTTTTAGGAACATATATTATCTAAACAATAGTGCCAGTTGATGCCCGATCAATTTCATTCATTCTTCCAGCCGAATCTGACTGGGGAGAATATCCCAGAGAAGATAGACAGCAATACATAAAACGTATGTGGTGGCTCTACTTTCATGCTTCACCTTGGGGTATACTAGACGGGAGCCGGAATCAGATGGCCGATGATGTCTTCGTAGAAGACTCCCAGTTGTTCCTCCTGGCTCTAAATCCCGGCCCTAAGCACTTTAACTTCATTCAATGTCCCATGGAGCGTCAGCCACATATCGGGCCCGCTTTCAGTTGTGGCAAAGCGGAGACTCGGGCGGCTGACCTAATTTTGCGTATGCTGCCGAATCCCTCGACTAGCCATGCTTGTACAGCACTCAGTTAGAGGCCAAGCCACGAAGAGGCCGGTTTAGAAACATGTGGAAAACAATATTTTGGCGATGAGCTCGGGGTTTTGAATGTCTTAAGGACAGAGAAATAACCAGTATAAGGCAACAGCGAAAAGAATCCATCGTCTGATGGGCTCAACAACTGGGGAGAGCCATGTCTAAAAAAATCATTTAGCCCAGCAAATCATGTCTGATGAAAAAGACTTAGCCCCTGTTAGACCATTTGTAGGGCAAGACAGAAAAGTCGTTTGGGACCTACATAGAACAGAACCGGAACAAATTGGCGAGCATTTGCAAGCCTATCAAGGCTTCCTTCCAAGGTAGAGGGCATTTTACTCAAGCGTTATGATGGGTGACAAACATCTATCAATAGGGCTAAACTATTGGGGCAATACCCATTCCTCCGTTCCTTTCCTCCTTCCAGCCCCATCAGCTAAAGAATAGACTAAGGGTAGACACACAGTCGAGTTCTCAATGAAATCTTGCATAGACTCACTGAAATTAATTAAATTTAGAGGCAGGCTTTGTAGCAAAATAGCAAAAGGAATGAAGGGACCTACAAATAAGCTATATTTCAGTGGTCACGAGTATGATTTATTTGAATCCCTGCTGAATCATGTTTACGTCCCAGTTACCAGTTTAAGGTATTATCGTTCACGATACCAAATGAAAGTTTACCTCTCTATGTTTGAACCGTAAACAAATTCGAGTCCACCATCGACTCTCTCCAAATATTAGTTCCACTTATCGGTGAATGAGTCATCCGAGATCGGAAACACCAGCGGAACCAACTAGCACTTCTGATTATTTTGGAATCACGTGCATCTGATGTTTTTCGTGATTACCTCAGGTTTCCTCCATAGATTGAAAAGTAAAAACCTCGAAGACCTATATCTATCGAAGCTGAATACTCAAAGCAGAAATAACTTGAGCTTGCCAAGGCCAAGCAGCTCGATAAAACTTGAACCCTACATAGAAACAATTGAAGCAGTAATCAGATACAGAAGGAGATCGGAGTTGTGGTGCTACTACTATAAATATAAACGTATTTATGTTAAAGGCCCAGTTCACGATAATTTCAAGGTACCTCTTTAATCCGGAAAGCGGAAGTACAGGCTGGGAATGGTCCATCTTCAGTGAGAAAAGAAAGAATTTTTGACTCGAGAATTCACCGATTTCGAAAAAAATATGGCTTCTTAAGAACAGGAAAAATAGTTTGGACAAGATTATCATGGCAAGGACATAGAAGGGGGCATTCGGACGAGATTCTAGTTGTTGCAGTTGCGCGAAAAACTGATTATATCGAGCCAGAACTGCACAGAACTGCCTTTCACTGTCACTATGGCTCATGACAGTTTGTTTGAACTTCCTACAGGGGTTCCCTTGTGATCGGTGCAACCTCTACAATGCCGCTGAAACTCGTCCGAGGATGGACACGGTACAATCTTTGAGCCTTTGTAACGCCCTAACCAGGCCGTTTTCCGGCTTAATAGCACCAGATATGGTATACGAGGGGCTTCAAATTCATCCTTAAGGAAATCTCAGAAACCATTTTTATTGTAAACTGTGCCTTAAATATAAACAAAAAAGAACCAATTGTGCTGAGCCAAAGACTGTAACTGACAAAAAAGAAAAATGAAAAAAAGGAGAAAAAGAAGCATAAACAAGAAAAAAGAAAATATCGTATAGTGTTGTAACAATTGATCTATCCCATATTTTTGCTATGCAATCTTATGTGAGAAAGTCAATGAAGTGAAAGGATTACCCTTTTGACACTGAAGAGTCCCGTTCTGGAATGCTCCCCGGCGTTCGTCTTTCAATCAGAAGTGGCGGAGCTCCGTTTTGAATCCGCATATGGCCTATACAATGATTTGTGGTGGCCAGCCGATGCAGAAGTCAGTCTTTTATCCTCCCAGACGAGTCTGATACCAATCAACTGAACACGGAGGGATTGAAGGCTTGTTAGCCTAAGCGGATGTAGGTCCGGGACTCAAATCTGTGACCGTGCGTGTGCGATAGTGTACTACTGCCGCTACACCAACTCTACAACTATATTACTGAAGAAATTCGAAGCCTATGCCTGCATCATTGCAAATGGCTCGTTTCGCCATGTAGCAATGATGGCGACTGAACGTGCGCATCCCATATAGTACTCCTTCTGCTGTGATCTCAGTACCTGCAAAGAACGGTAGGTGAACGATGGTATACAGCAATCGTTCCAGAGTATTAATAAAAATCCCCTGTGTTTATTTACTGTTTTCTTCTGTTTGCTACATGCAGTTTATATTACCTGTTGCTGACTTTCTCTCGTTCGATTGAATAGGAAGATAGTAGGACCAGTTCTCTTACTTTTTATTTATTTTACACATTCATCAGATACCGTGTTTTTGAAGGTGCGCTCCGCACGACTACAAATACTTCTTTGTTGTTGGCCTTCCGGCTTTCCAATGAGCCATCCAAAGGATCTAAGAATTTCTGTTTAAGCATAAAGTTTTGCATGCATTTGTTCATTGTTTATTGACGCATAGAGAAATAGTTAGACATGTATTTAGCCGCAGAACTGAAATTCAAAGAATTTGACGGAATTTCATCCGGATATACTTTTCTAAAGAGATGGTAACATGCAGTGACACTCCAGAACGGTTTGACCCAGGTCCTTGTTAGAAAGGAGTGGGGTAGCTTCTCATTCGTTTTCCTACAGTATCAGATTGAAGAAACAAGTTGTTAATTCTGTAGAAAAATGGAGTGTTTTTGGTCACTTTGGGGTATACAAATGACCATCGAGAGAAATGATGAGAACTCTGTATACGACGCCATCAAATTTTTCCATCAATTTATCGCTGACATCATTAATGAAATGTGAAGACGATGAATAGTTCTCTAGCATTACGCGGTGTGAAAAACGTTTCGCGAACTTTAACAATCGTCCATACTTTTTTTCTAGAATGTTCTTAAAGATAGCATAAAATCATAGGGAATCGTTGGAAAGATACTACTCACATGTAGGCTCATAAACTATGCAGAGATTTAATGAAGTTGAAATGAATGGCATTCAGTTCAAAGGATCAAGTCTCATTTTCGACTTTTCCTATTTCCAGTTTTGATGGCTAGAACCGCTAGAGCTGGAACCAGGCGCTCACAGAAGCGCTTAGAAGAGACTTTAAGGCAAAGTGCTCGACACAACTTCCAATGGATTCAAAAAGAGGATTCCAGCTTGCTTGGGAATACGTTTCGAAAGTGATCATTGCATAATGTGATAAGCAAGGAAAAAGTGCCCGGATATGTCATTCGTACACGTGTGGGTAGTGTTCTTGCACAGAAACTTCTGGGATGGTTTGGAAGCTCCCAAAACATTCATAGAAAACTTGGACTTTTGCAAAATTCTTGGCCGACACTCTTTCCAAACGCGTCTTAGCTGACCAGCATGGCCTCCGATGTTTACTGGCTTGTAGCCGTGTCATCAGTAAACATGATAAGAGGGTGAAAACTGGAGCACGCTATATTTCAACAGATAGCGGTCCTTATAAATAGATAGCGGAAAGCTGGAAACTCTCATTAGGCTCTCCGAAATATTCTGAACCTCTCCAAATACTTCTAAAGTAAGCCACTATTATTGATTGCTGCAAAGAATTGTAAATTATGAGGCTCTAGCAGACCCTTGGAAGTTTTATCGAACATTCCCATTATTTTCTTTAGCTAATAATAAGTCAATTATGCAATCTCAATTTATCACCAGTTACCACACTTTATCATCGAATTCTACCAAAGCCCTGCAGATAGTAGTCCTACTCATCAATTGGGAATTCTGAAAAAACGTTTCACATTTTTACATTTCCATATGTTTACATAACGATCAATACAATAGCATTATAGTTCCACCTACTTACTATACTTACGAGCAGTAACAGCTACTACTACACTCTCCCACTCCATAAGAGACAAATTAAAGCGATTATTTACTTGTCAGCTTGTTTATTTATTTATTCAATCTCTCAGAGCCTGATCTTCATGAGTTTTCCCGGTTTGAAAGTTTTTCCTCCACTTGACCAGATATTGAGAAGGACAAAGTGACATGATGCCGGTTTGTTGCTCTGCAGTAACACTCGATGATCAGCTGATCCGGCAGAGCAATCAATCTTATAAAAGATCTGAGAATTTCCTCTGAGCGAACAGAAACTCGGAAAACACTCGCCGCTTTATCTGATGACTGTACTGCTCAGATAGCACCGTTTGTTGTTTAGAGTCCATTCCCTTATCACACTTGTTGATTGGTTTCTGTCAATGGTTCGTTCTTACTGACCTTCTCGTTTTGTCAGCTTCGAGATAGAGTGATCTTTGGGCAACTCGGCAGCTTAAATAGTCAGGAATACGGTGACACTTTGTAGTAACACCTGCACTTATCTATACCGTAATGAAACATGTATCAAAGGTTTTCTTCTCAGAATCGTGCTATACCGTCCCCTACCTCGTCAGACATCCACTAGAACTTGTCTTCAAGTTTTTTGCTTGATTTGTCCCGTTCCCGGTTATTGAATAGAATCGATTAAAAGGAGTTTTTTTGATCGTTTTTCCTCGATTTCAGATGAAACTACTGCTCCTGACTATCGCCCTGGCTATTTGCGTGCTAAGTGTTGACGGATGGAATAAGAACAAACGTAAGTGTTTATTTATTTATTTATTTAACTATAATATAATGTTGCTTAATAATAATAGTAAGTGTATACTTCAAGTAGTATATAGTATACAATAAGTGTATACTTCACCAAGCTTGTCTCCACTAAGCTACACCCCGGGTTTCCTAAATTGAAATAAGAGCGAAGCTTGCTTCCACAGCAGAATCAGATTTGCTTCCATAGTCAGTCTATAGTTTATAGCAAAATCAAAAGTCCCACGATCTGATTTGGCCTTAATTGCAATGAAAAATTGAATTCATTAGCTCAAATATCCGATTTGGTTATTCTGATGTCGCCTAAACTAGGCTAAAGTATGTTCAGCAGAATATGTCAAGGAAAGGACTAAGTAGAATTAGTAGGGGCTAAGGGGTGGGGCGAGGGGGTGTTTACCCCTAAGACACCGCTATCCGCTTATTATATTTTCAAAAATTTTAAGCTTTCAAAAATACTGGTTTTCAACTACCGATGCAGTGCTTTCAGCTTCGAGCAAGATTGATGAACCAACAAGCGATGACGATTCCGACGATAACTGCCATTGCCCATGCCATCATCATCACTATCATCACCCTAAAATGCCAGCGTTCCTGAAGTAAGTCTTAGGGTCCGGTTTCTCTGTTTGACCAGTTTTATCATCCATGAAGACATGAAGACATAGGTTTAGCCCTAATCCCCGCCCACTTTAAAAGCCCCGCCCGGTAACGAGAAACGATTGATAGCCAAACTTTAGCTCGTTCCTAAAAGTTTCAAGGATCCGGATGATCATGCATCTCGTGCTTTCGAGTTGACAACAACACCAACGCCCTGGCGTTATCTTTATCGCTGTCCGGCCAGGTCACTCTTTTAACGACTCTGTGGCATGTGATACCTGTGCTCCACTGTAAACACAACTCAAACAAAAGTGTATATAGAACCGAAAAATCGGGCTGATGGCTATTAAACGATATATCCATAGTAGTACATTCCACCAACAGAATTTTATTAGTGGAGGTACCCGTGGACCACGTTTTTACTTCATGGTCTCCTGACTACTGGGATGTTGGGTGCCAAAGAATCCGAACATAGAACGATCCCTCCGTCGCCATGCACAGGAGAGATAGGAGACAACTTTTCTCCTTTATAGAACAAAAAGGGCTCGTTTGATTCGAAGACAGGAGAACTGCCCAAATGGAAAGGTACTACACAAGAAGGCAACTACGGTCTGCCTTCTGATGCAGTATCTACGTATTTGACCAGTAATACTTTTCCAAACTAATGAGTTGCATTTATGAAGAGCATGCCCAGTACGGGGGACGAAAGTCGGTCTTTCGAAGGCAACATGGAAA